AACAGGAAAAAAGTAAAACAAATTTGATTGCAAACAAGTACTCAACTATGCTGCTAAATGCACAAATGCATTTTTGCAGTGACCATGGCACCATTTGAGTAAAATAAATGGGCCTTCCAATAGTTTAATAGTATTCTATTTTTGTTTAATAGTACTGTATTCTAGTAGTAAAATGCTTATCCAACTCTTCTACTTCAAATCATTTACTTTTATAACTTTTTACTTCCCTTTCCCCACTTTTGATGTTCAATTTTACCTGTATATATTTTTTTAAATCATGCCATTTCTCAACTTGAAAAACAGCTATTCTGGCTAGCGGCTAAGTTAAACATGCAAAACATTTACTATTATTTACTCCAGGAAACGGCATCAAACAAGAAACATCAAACGTCAATTGTGCATTGAAAATATTTTATTTCTTTTCCATGATAATACATAATTAGACATTTATTTTTTCATAGAAATAATATATATATTTATATATGTATACCATGGTTGTGAACAAGAACAGAGTCATGCTAGCCCTCATGAACAGGTTTTATCCCATGAACATCAAAAATGGTTTAAAACAGATGTTGTGATTGTACATTAAAACACCGATTCAGTTATTCTGCTGTTAATCCATGCTTCTTGGTTATTTGCTTCCACATAACATACAAGTATATGCTGTAAGTAAATGCCTCTCCCCATCTTTTCTATGTAGGGCCTAAGGGGATTTTTCAAGTTCTCAAAATTTGCTCACTTGGTCATCTACAGTATAGGCATACCAGTGGGAATGTAGCAATGTTGTAGGCCTTATATGGTACATGAACATGATATAAGCTGGAGTTGCTTACTATGAAACTTGTGTAGTTTTAGTAACTGCACCACAAGGTCATGAGAATACTTTCATTACACAGATGTTTTAGTAGTGGAGGTTTAAATCATCATCATCAATAAAACAGATGAATACATCAATTAATAAACACAGAGAAAAACAATGATGGTCATATTTAATTAGATCACCTGTATGAATTATCTGATGCACTGTGTGGCCAATTTCCTTTTCAGTGATTGGTTCCTGTCAAAGTTTACATCATGTTAGCAACAATTACACCTTCATGCCACACTAAACATGTTAACGATCGTCCAACTGTGACGAGACTTAACTTAGAGCTTCAACACGGCAAACGTTCTCAGCGTAAGTGAATGAAAGTGTCCTCCTTTGACACTTTACACCTGATTCACTCCAAATGTCTCAACACATAGCACTAATGAAAACATGCCCATTGAGTTAGTTAAATGTTGCAGGGAGGACAACTGTAGACAATGGGCCTCATGCAAGAACATGTTCATATTCTTATCCTAAATTTATCTTACTTTTGTTCGTATGAAGGGTTTGTACGAACATGTCACGTCAGATTCAAAAAACTCTTCTATCTTCAGGAAAAGTGTGTAAACGAGCTGAGTAAATTCCACCTGTACGTATCCAGCTGCTCATGCACGCAAGAGGAGATTAGCATAATTACCAACCCAAAAGCACCATATAAGGCCACGTTTCTTGCCTCAGATATCAAGAAGTGTCCATTCATGAAAATGACAGCGAAAACTAAAAAGAAGAATTTTACGAGTTCAGAGATTGAAGTCCTTCTGTCAGAGATCCAGAAAAGAAAATCTGTAATTTTTAGCAGTGTCGGCTGTGGAATAAAAGGAGCTGCTAAAAGTATAAACAACTGTGTTAAATCATTTTCATATATTAAGAAGCCACACCGGGGCGCACCGTACCCCCCGCGTGGTCGCAAGTGACCTCAGTTGCGGTTCTGAAATAAGCATTTTAAAATGTTTTCAAAATATGTCTGGCACTTTGGAGAAAACCCAGGAGTCGCTGGAGGGATTATGTATCCACTCTGGCCTGGGAATGTCTCAGAGTCCCCCAGGACGAGCTGGAAGGTGTCGCTGGGGAGAGGGATGTCTGGGTCTCTCTGCTGCTGCCCCCCGCAACCCGATCCAGGATAAGCGGCAGAAAATGGACGGACGGACAATTTATATTGTCAGTCTAAAATATTACATTTAAAATTACAAATCTAATTCAAGCAGAATAGCCTATTGTCAAGATAATCATAGAGTGTGATTTATTTTCAACTCAAAATATCTTCAAACCAATGAAATATAAAGTTCTTAGTGAAGAAAACCCATCTGGATAACAGCAGACTGACTGCTCGTAAAATATACGACAGGTCTGGACCACACGTGAATTTTGTTCGTATCTGAAAAAATCTTAGAATACGAAAACATTGGTGAATGCCACAAATTCTCCTAAATCACTCGTATGCACAACTTAAGAACAAATCTGTGAGTACGAACGGTTCTTGCATGAGGCCCAATGAGTGCAAAACATTCACTGTCTGCCTTCAAACACAGCAGGCACAAAAAGAGATACAAAAAACAAAACAAAACAATGAGCTACGGGTCTTAATGAATAGAAGAGCACTCCTTAAAAATCTGAAACATCTCTCTGTATCTGGGAATAAATCAATAAGTGACATTTTGTGCTGTCTTGACCATCACTGCCTTCACTTGTTTTTACTCAGTTACTGTATTTATGCGTGTAAAATGCGAAAAAAAAATGAACCCCAAAAATTATCCATAAAGTTGGGGAGTTGTATTACATAAGGGAGTCAATTCTCAAATTGAATTACTTTGTTTTATATACCTGAAATATTGTGTTTCTGGGGATAAATCATCATAATTTCTCCATCTGTCCTCCCACTGTATAATACGTTGAACATAGCGAAGCAAATAAACAACAACAGGTGTTTGTTTATTCCCTCTGGAGTCGGAGGAGGAAAAACTCTTTTTGTATTTTGTTAACAGTTGCACTTTTGAATGCTAAATAAGATCAGATGATGAGCTGCCCATTTTGCTAATTTAACAACAACCAGCTTCTGCTGTTGGATCGAACCGTTTACAGCGACATGAAGCTCATGCTGTTCCTCCTTGACAGCCTTCACCCACAGATGTGTGACCCTAAACTAATCCGTTTCCCCACCAGAGGGTACACCTCAAGGATTGAAACACCCTTAAGTCTGTATGAAATTAAGGTTAGCATTACACATTAGGATTTGATTTGTTATGCTTTTTAAGCTAAAACAATGGGGATTGCATTATAATTGAACTGCATTTAACACGCATAAATAGTGAAAAAGTGGGGACTGTTGTACAAAGTGGTGCTCAGTGTGCCATCTCCCCCTATTGGAGATGACACATCTTCAGATGAACTGGTCGTGGAAGGCCCCCTAATAATCATTCATTGAGATAATCAATTTCTGCTTGTTAATATCCGAATAACAATCTGCTGAAATGTTCTAAAGTTTTGTATTCAGAATAAAGATTAATTTAATCAGAATCTAACAAATCACAGAAAGAAAAGATGAACTATAAAATTTTTGATATACCTTCCCTTTTTGTGAAGGCAACATTGCAGCAGATTGCTCCTTTTCTTTTTCAACTCCTGAGAGAAAACTCTCAGGAGTACAGCAGTGATCTTTGAGGATTTTGTGCTCCTAGCCCAGGAATAATTTAAATATATGCACAAAACTTTGTTTAAATGTGGGCACTCTGCATCAGCACAGAGAGGTGATATTCAGTAGGCGTTGCAGTTTGAGCAATACATCTCCCGTTGTGAGGCCTTTGTACATAAATTCCACAGAAGCGTCAAACCTGGACTGCTCCAGGTTAGAGGCCGCCAAAGCCACACAATCTTTTGGTGACTCAGGGCTTGTCTGTAACTAACAATCTGAAGATGTCCCGTTTGTCTCCCTTTCCCTTTTTCTGTCTTAGTCTCAAGCTTCACATTTGCACATTTCACTTGATGCTCACCTTGAGCAGCTGTTCATTCAAACCCTGCTATCTCAGACAGACAAGGACTGAGATGTCTGGGGGACACCTACCTTCTGTCACCTTCTCAAATGTGTCACTTTGGACTGCAGCCAGCAGCAGCAGGGACTTGGTGGATGAGTGAGGGTTTAAATGCGTGTGTGCTTGGTTTTCGACCGATTCAGGAAAATTTCCACTTCAGGCTCAATAGCTTTACAGTCACTGGACACATTTGTGCTTTTATCACCTCCTACATCAGATTGACAGCAGCACTCAGAAAGGTCACCCACTCTGTGTGGCAAAAACAACGTCAGTGGTGTTTGTATCTTGAGATACATCAAGAAACTAAGAACAAGATTGTCAAAAGGTAAGAGAGGATACAATTGCTATCCCAGTTGAATCATTTGTTGAAGATGAGTCCACGATCAACACAAAAATTAGTTCTTTATACACTAACAAGATTAATCAATTTGAATTTACCTAATTCCTTTAAATAAACAGATTCCAAATAAATCAATTGATCATTTTTTGCCCTAATTATTTCTACAAATGCACCTGTTACAAGTTTCTGTACTTTGTGCGTCTGAAATTAAAAGCTAATGAGTCCAGCAGGACACTGCTTCTTGTTGTAAGCTTCACTGGGATCTATGAGAAAATGTTCAAGTGTCTGAATCCATTTCAACTGAAAAGTGACAGTTTTGATCACTAGTTGCAAGTGTTTTATTCATGCTTCAGGACACAGACATTACTTTAAAGAAGCCACAACAGTTCAGGTTTGTGAAGTGCCTAATGGTGTAAGGATACAGTATATAAATTACTCATTACTCTTGTTTCATGCACTTGTCTAAATTCAGCCATATATCACTTTGAAAAATGTTGCAATTGCCATAATGCAACACTTCAACACAGATTTAAGTGAATGCTAGAGCATAAGATTTATAGGAGCTGTCATGTATTTTTGGAACCAGAGTCTGCCCACTAGGAATATTGTTAGTTCTAACTTCTCTCACACGCAATTGTTGTCCTACATGACCTGTCATTGTAGCAAATTTTGTTGCTTTCTGCCCAAATTATTTGTCCAAACCAAAGCAGAGAATTTTGATTAACAGACTGACCACCACGTTGTTTTACAGCAGGCAGCTAGNGCAGAGGGGCGTTACAACCAAAAGATCTATGGGACAGATTTGTATCCAGGCTGTAGGGTACTTGTCCGCAATTTCTCAGAAAGAGGAGGCCCAGGAAAACTTCGATCCTTTTGGGAAGATCAGGTCTATGTAGTGACAGAAAGAAAGTACGACGGTGGTCCTGTCTATGAGGTGAGGCCAGAACAGGGTGGTGGGCGAGCAAAAGTTCTCCACAGAAATCTGCTACTGCCCTGTGACTTCCTCCCAGTTGAACAAATCCAGCCTGAGCCACTGAGACCAGCGAAGAGCAAGTTTAAAAGACACGGGAACAAACAACAGGAGCAGCAGCGAGTTGATCTGCAGAGTGCTTCGGATGAAGAGGAGGATTGGAGAGGCATCCGCGGGCCCACAACAGAAGGATATGGGCAGCTGAGTGTCCAGCTGAGAACAGAAGCTGAGGAGTTTAGGCCACTGCCTGCTACCCAGGAACCTGAGGACAACACGGGACAAATGGAGCAGCATCAGGACGCGCAGGAGGAAGATGGAGCAGAGCCGGAGGCTGTCCTTGAGGACAGGCAAGGAGAGGAGCTGGACCACAACAACGCAGAGCCCTCACCTACGGCAACCAGAAAGTATCCTCCCAGAAACAGACAGCCAGCTAAGACACTTACATATGACTCTCTTGGACAGCCTAGTCTTAGCTTTAGACAGTAGTTAAGTTTGGATTGAAGTTCAATCAACCAGTTTGTGTTATTTTCCAGTCTTAAAGCTTGTTGTTGTTTTTTTTTTTCATATTGATTTATTAGAACCACAAGACATTCAGGAGTCAGCCTGTTAGTGTTTTAGTATTGCATGATAACATGTAGAGTTGGTTTTTTTGGGGTTAATAACCTCTCAGGTGAGATACACAGTTCCCGTAACCGAACGGTGAAGAGTAGCAGATATTCATAGTGCACGATGATATCAGCTATGGACACATTGCACTAAAATGGGAGASAAATGCGATGTTGGACTACTGACTAAACAGGATTGTGTCTCTGATGAACACTGACTCCCACCGGCTGTCACTGTTACATGCTTGCTTTTAACACGGGTTCTAGGTCCTGCAGAATGTCGGGACGACATTTATTTTGGAGGGGAGAGTGTGGAGCACAAGCAAATGCAGCAGCAGGAAAACAGGACACCCCTCTTAGTATTCAATATTTTATGTTATGTAGCAGAGCACAGCACAAAATGGTATTTGCATGTAGCTGCCAGACAGCAACTCATGTAATAGAGGCGCAGTAGGGATTTTGATCAGGCAGATATTAGGGCAACMCACCGCATTCGGCACTGTCTTTGTTGATGCCGACAGGGGTCCTTATGTATGGAGAGGACTGAAGCGGTGTGGAAAATGCCACCAGCAGTCGATTAATGTGCCTTATTTACTGTGTTTACA